AATTCTCACCTTTGGTCCAATGAGTATGCTGAGGATTGTTACATTTCCTAAAGGCTCTAGGATTAGGACTATTGCTAGGCTATAAGTAAGAACTGCCTGGGGAACTTGTTAATAACACATATTTCAAGCTTCACCCCAGAGATACTGATTCATTAGGTTCACAATGGGGCCCAGAAATCTGTATTTTAAAAAGCATCCCAAATAATTTGAATAGTCATATAGGTTTGGTGACCACTTATAGCACATATAGGCTCAAGAACATTCTTTCATGATTCAAGTGAGCTGACTCCCTTTCTGCAACCCCCCACCTCAAATCTCAAAGAACTGATTTTTCAAAAGTTAAATCCACCTTTTACATATTTTTTCCCACATTTTAATTAAGCAATAACTATAATGTGCATACAACAGGCCTACATGTACCTTAAAGACTGTTCTCAGTATAAGTACAAACACTGGAGAGAAAGCTTATTTTTTAAAAAGTGACTTTTCCTTTGATAGGAAACATTTTTTTTGGCTGCTAGGTTTTGCAAAAATTAGTATTAATTCCTGATAACAATATTTTTAGTGTTTCATGCATTATAAACCAGTTTCACACAGGTAAATCTTTTTAAAAATTATAAATCTTCATGTTAGGACACACCACAAAACTAAGATAACATAAAAATAGGAGATAAACATCACAATAATAACGAGAAACATTAAATCACTATTTATTTAGGTTAAAGAAAAGTTATATTCTACCTATAAAACATTCTATTGGCTATGATCCATTTTCCCACAATTTCCACTGAAAAAACCTGCTAGATAAAGGCTTTAAGACAGATTTGCTAAAATTGGAATAAAATCTTCTGAAGCTGTGGATATACATGTCTTCTCTTGAAATGTTATAAATAGGACTGACTGTCAGTTTTGAGATTGGTGGTTCCAACCATGCCTTTAAGAGTGAACAGGCTTAATGACCTTTAAAGCATCATTCTGTCTTTTGTGATACTATGATCATTCACTGATAGCTGTCAATTCAGAAAGGCCATTTAAATGCATAAGTTCTTTCCATGAGGAAACATTTTAATATGTTAGAGAAAACAAATAAACATAACAAATTTTTTTACTCTGTATCTCCTCTGCCAAAATATTACAATGATCACAGCTCACTGGAAACAGGCTTATGTAGGTGAAATGTGCTTTTGAGGAATAAGTAGGAAGGAAAGTAATGTCCAATGAAGAACTCATTTGCGTTCTGACTGTAGCCATGTTTATGGAAATGATGGGGAACATTCTACCGCAAAATGTCTTTCTACACTGTATACTGACAGAAGAAAAAACTGCAGAAGAAGCCAATTTAGCTATACCGGTCTCATGGTTGTAAAGAAAGGCAATATTTCTAAATTATCAATGAGTAAACAAGGTATTTACGCCAGTTAACAATATCATCTTGACAGATGAATAAAATAGTAGATAAATCTGTATTTCTACAGCACTGAACTCAATACGAAAATCAGCATATACTTTTACATGAAGTACTACTTTTCCTATTTTCAACAACAAATGCAATACAACTAGTAGAAGACTGATTTCTCCTCAACTTCCCAAGTTGTGAATCAATACACTTGCCACTGACCTAAACCAGATAAGTATTTGACTTCCAGTACAAGATGCTAAACTACAGCTGTATTTTAAATATAGTATTTTCACTCTGTAACACTGCTTTATTTTTATCTCCTATAAATTGGACACAAAATGAACATGGCAAGGGGTTTTATTTTTCTCGTTTGTCTTAAAATTTAAACTGTAAGAATAACCTGCTTGTACTCAAGGCAATGCAGTATTTCAAATCAGCCAAACGAACTTTTAACAAATTTAGTCTTCTCAACAGTTTGCAGGGACATAAAAGAAGCAGTGAAACATGACATTCTTTTTTTATTGTTGTTGTTGCTGAGGAAGATTAGCTCTGAGCTAACATCTGTGCCAGTCTTACTCTATTTTGTATGTGGGTCACCACCACAGCACGGCGTGGGTGTAGGTCCATGTCTGGGATCCGAACCCGTGAACCCGGGCCCCTGAAGAACAGTGCGTGGAACTTTAACCAGTAGGCTATGGGGCTGGCCCCTGAAATTCTAATAATTAAGTTTGCTTTGTCTAGTAAACATTCTAAAATGGAACAACTTCTCAGCACTATGGAGGAACAAAACACGCAAACTATAATGGCAGTGAAATTTTACAATAAGTACTATACTATACTGATAACTTAAATGCATAATTCATGTTAAAAAATGGTTGGGAAGCTCTCTGCCATCTTAATTACATTTTGTGTTATTTTGGCTATGTAAAGGAACTCGAAGAAGTTAAAAAACAGGCTATAGCACATGGGGAGGACATCATACTCTACACAGGAGTAAGGCTGGCCATTCTTTACGTAAGCAATTGGGAGAAACTAGGCAGCTTTAAGGAATTAGTGACTGAAGGGAAGTGAACTGTTCTATTATGTGTACCAACTTGATAATATGCCCATTAACTGTAGTACAAAGTAACAAGAACACTTTTTCAATCCAAAGTGTTCTCTTTAGGATTCTCTCTGTGGTTTCCAATGCTAGGGAAATAATTAGTATTCATTTTTTCAGAATAGGCAATATTTTCAGGTTTTTACAAAGTATACATCTTTTATATTCATGACAAACCACCAAATAACAAACAAACAAAACACCTAGCTTTTTCAAAGCGAGGGGCAAAAAAGTAACAAGTTTAAACAAGTAATGTTAAGCAAAAAATTTTCTCATTATCTGAGGCATATTTGTCTCCATCTATAATTTTCTATTCAAATAATATCTTGATAAATATAGCTAAATTGGCCAGTTATCAACATTTGCTGTTTGTCTCTGTGAGCAAATTATATACTGAATCTACAGACCTAGATGGCCAGAATGGCTAAGACCATCCCCCTCAAAAAAAAAGATTGCCATTGCTTTAAAAGATAAGACAACAGAATTAATGAGTATATTGTCTGGGCCCAAATATTTGGAAATAAATGTATCTCATTAATTGACTTCTCTAATTAATCTGAAGAAATAAAAGAATGTTAAGCAATTTAAGATCAAAGAATAGAATGTCATATAATTACATATTTTCCTACATATTCATTGATATATGGTCATGACATATCTGAACGTGACTAAAAGACTTAGTTAATGTGTAAGAGTGAATTGCATTAAGATGCCTCCATAAATGAGAAAAATCCACATTTCAATTAATACAAATATATTCCCAACATCTATAATGCAAGAGACAATATGTGATAAATAATTTAAACAAAATATTTATGTTACCATGTGGAAAATGTTACCAAGTCAAAGAGATATTCCTTTTATTATGGTCTATAATCAGTCACATAACAATGGCTGAGGGAACCTAACCATCTTGTGATTCGAACGGCTTACAGAACTAAAATGAAGTTGTCTGTAGGAATACAAACTAAAGAGTATAAACTCTGTGAATCAATCCAGCAGGCCCGCACATTTGATGAACTGGACTAGTGTTTGATTAAATGGATAAATCATTTAATATGGACAAAAGACAATCAAAGCAGATTGTCTATAATTCTGATACTCAAGCCATTTACCTTTCTTTTTTACTTCCATTTTAAAAAAGTAATATTAGAATTTGGAGGTATAAAAATAAAAATTTATTCAGCAAAATTTGTAAAATAACTTTCCATCATACTTAGAATAAAATACGAAGACACATGGGGCCAGCCCGGTGGCGTAGTGGTTAAGTTCGTGCGCTCCACTTCGGCAGCCCAGGGTTCACAGGTTCAGATCCTGGATGTGAACCTACACACCGATCATCAAGCCATGCTGTGCCGGTGTACTATATACAAAGTAGAGGAAGATTGGCACAGATGTTGGCTCAGGGACCATCTTCCTCAAGCAAAAAGAGGAAGATTGACAACAGATGTTGCTCAGGGCCAATCTGCCTCACCAAAAACAAAACAAAACAAAACAAAACAACAACAACAACAAAAAAAAACAAAGACACATACCCCTATGTGATCTGGCTCCGGGCTACTTTCTGCCATCACTTTGCACCATTCTACCTCACAATCCCTGCACACCAGACTAGCAGCCTTCTCGCGGGTCTAGGAGGACACCAAGAACATTCAGGGCAGCGGTTGCCGTTTTCGCCCTGGTTATCTTCATTTAGATCTCTGTTCAAATATTACTTCCTCAGGAAAAACCTCATCACCATTGTATCTCATGCAGCACGGTCTGTCATTGCCCTCTACCCTACCTTTTTTAATAGCATGTATCACTATTTGACATTATATTTCCATTTTCTCCATCTCACCCCGCATAGAATGGCCAGGGACTTGCTTTGTTCACTGATGAATCCCCAGTGCCAAGAACGGTGCCTACCACATATGAAGGTGCTCAGTAAGTATCTAGCAAATCAATAAAAGAATGAAAATCCATTTAACCCACAGATTTTAGATTGTGTATTACGGGTCAGACACTCTAAGCTCTAGACACACAGATGATTTATCACAGTCTCACTCAAAAAACTAAATGGGAGGAAAAGACACAAATATGTAAACAAAGTGTTATACCCTGATAATACAGGAAGAATAATACATAGAATCATTAGGAAGGAGAGGGCTCTTGCTCAGGCACAATGGACTAAAAACAGTCCAATGCCTTTAATTAGTAGATGGTTGATGAGCTTAACCAAATGTGATCTCAGTAGCAGAGACAAACTACACGCCATTAAAAACAGGAAAGATAAGGAATAGAGAATAACCTTCACAGTTTTTTGAAGAATTGATTTACCAAATACCATTTTCCTTCTAAAAAACTGAAAGATTAATATTAAAAAATCTGCAACTTCATCTCAAGTGCTGTTAATCTTTTCATACAAATACAAATATGCTTTACTATTTTTTAGGTTATGTAACCATTAAGCATATAGATCAGCATAGAGCTAAATTAAAACAAGCACAAAACATTCCTTACCTGAATTTCTAAAATCATTCTGTCAATCTCATCTTGTTGGCTGTCTATTATCTAAAACATAGAAAATATACCAGTTTGAATCAAACTGTTTCTTTCTATTGCTTTTTAAAAGTCTCAATATTTCAAGAAAAAAAAAAAAAAAGCACAGGAAATTATTAATTTATCGTTAAAAAGTCAGTGATTTTTTTTTTAACAAAAGTATTCATACCAAGTATCCTTTAGCCATATGATTTGGATCACACACATGTAAAACTGCAAAAGTATTCTTCTAGTTCTTGATAAAATTTTTCTCTAATTTTTGCAATTTACAAGAATAACTTGGAGAGAGACTTTGAATAAGTTAGGAAGGAAAAAGATATCCTTTTGTTTCTGCTGAGAAGTAATATAATTTCCTTAGTTTGGATTTATTTAAATTTAAATTATTTAAATTTACTTAAATTGCTATTTTCTTTCCAAAGAAAAACATTCAAACTAAAAATTCTATAAGCTACTAAATATTAGCAAAAATATAAATCAAATAACTATAAAATATATATCTATACACACATATCCACATAGTATAGACTTATTATCAAAGATGCAGACTGACCTTACTAGCATTCTCATTTTGTTCTCTCAGGTGATCATTTTCATTCTGAAGCTGTTTTGCATCTAACATGGGAAGGCGGATTCCATCTTCAAGGCATCTTTCCACTTTTTGCTGCAAACTATTCGTTTCAGAAACATAATTATATGAAGAAAATAAGCTCTACGTGCTGATTTTGGTAGATGACTTCAAAATAAATGAAGTCCCTTTTTAGGGTCTATAGTATTTTTTTTAATCAAGCAATAATCAGGACCTATGGAGAATAAGTCTGAGTACTTACATTTCATACAAGTAAGAAATACAATGGAGGCTGCTCATCTTCTCAGAAATGGCAAATCTGAGACCAGAGTCAAGAGCTGCTCAGTATGTGACATCCTTAGGCCCTCGTGAAGGCCCTCATGACCCTAATCTGAGCTCTGCCTTCTAAGCCCTGTTCTTTCCCTCTCCCCAAAAGCAGAGTTCCTTGATGAGGACTGTTTGTGGTAGGGAACCTAAGAACACAGATACAGGTCTTTGACCTTCATTCTGAGCTCAGCAAAAGTTTATAACAACAGCTGCTGCCTAAACCAGCAGAATTACATTTCTCCTTCATTAATAAGAGCAACAATCTATTTATTACTTGACCTAACAGTTTCTCAGGCTAGCCATGGCAGAGAGCTGCATTTTAGAAGAGGAAACTACAAAAGAAAGCCCCTCTGGTGCATTAAGAATAAAAGGATCAAAGAGAAAGAAGGTGTTAGCCTTGAGATAGGAACAAGAGTCATGTTCGGGTTAAAGGAACTACACTATTAACAATCATGACTAAAACTAAAACCTAACAGCAAGACACTAGGAAGAATTCAACTTTAGCTTGTAACCATAATCAAGAGTTGCAGAGTACTAAAAGAAATAGACTTCTTATAATTAGGGTTTTGACATTTTCATTATTTTTCTTCTTTCAAGTATTATGGCTATCCTGTGCTTTTTCTCTCTTCCAAAAAAAAAAAAAAAAAGAAGAAATGCCATATCTGGATTGTGGACAAAGAATTGACAGTCCTAAATGGTGCAATAAAGGCTCCAGATTGTTAATAAATAATGACACCAGAGAAGTTTTTACATGTTATGAAAGTAGCGTACTGCTTTGAAATATATTGTTACTTGTCATGAAAATATTTGTTTTTTCAGTCTACAAGTGGAAAATACATTATTCCTATTTCAGAATAAGTTTTTCCCCAATTCAGTGAAGACGCTACACTTCTATGTATTTATAACAGTCCAAGAGAAATAAGTTACATTAAAATTATTGAAGTCTTTCATATTAAAAAAAAAAAAAGAAAACAAGCCAGCTACGAGGAGGGGAAAATGTACTGTCATGGAAAAATACCAAATAAGTCATCCTTCATGTATACATTCTCATTTTGCTTATGCTATGAAGCAAGGTCACTTAGAAAAGTAATAAATCTCTTGAATAGCAAAGGTACCAACTATGGCATTACTAGGGATCCCACCCACATATTTCACTTACATTTTCATTTCTAATGGAAAACTATTCTTATCTCATTTTTAAATCCCTAAAGTTTTTATGTATTAATAAAGCAGGAAACTTAGAAATATTATATAAAAACAGATAAATGTTATGATATAATTCATAGTCACACATACATCTGACCTTCTGGAACTTAAGGAAAACTATATTGTGTAGCTGAGGAAACTGAAATAACACCCCTACCCCCAAAGTCAAGTGACAACTTAGCCACACAAGAAGTGAAGAATTATGGAAGACCTTCTTTGGTCCTTTACATCTATTTGAAATCAAGAGACATTTCTGGGATGAAATCTCAGACAGTATCAAGATAAAGTTAAATGGAGAATGGATTCTGAAATGCACTGTACTAAATCTTTCCAAATTAAGAATACTAGGCGCAATGCCCTCCAAAAACCTAATAAAAGAGAAAATCTAAATAAAAGAAAAAGTATAAAATCATATTAAATACGTAAAAGCACACAGTGGAACAAAACGTTCAAATTATTTTCAGGTGTTCCTAATTCTATTTATAAAATAACACAGCTTGAGCTTACGATCATAATGCCCTATAAAATAGAACAGATACATTACTTCTTTTCATTTTATCAATAAGATTGATAGAAAAAGATATAGGGTTGAATATGGAGGTCAGGAAGCTGTTTTGAGACTAGAGAATAGGATATAAGATGTGGAGTTATAAAAAAGGAAATTAAAGAGCAAAAAAGCAGAAACTAGGAGAAAAATAAAGGTAGAGTCAAAAGTGTATGAGTTTTTTGGAGTTGAGATCAGAAACACTGAAGACCGAATTGTCCCAGAAATCAGAGTTTTTCTGCACTGAAATCCAAGTTAAAAAGCAGCCCAGGCATATTTAAGACTTTGCAAGTAGTAGTACAGCAATACTAACACGGAATTATCAGATGGATTTTGATTAAAAAGCTGAGAATACACTGAGTTATATATAATTGATATGTATAAGCATGAAGAGCATATTTTTTTTTTTTTTTTTTTAAATATATCTAATTTTTATTTACCACTTGTAACCTAAACAAAGCTAGAAAAAATATTTATTTATTTATTTATTTATTTATTTTTTAAATTTACATTTTTGTTGCTTTAGTGTCTTGTTCAGGATAGTTTTATCTATTTATATTTGATAATCTATTAAGGTTTAAGTTTTATAAAACAGAGTACATGTAGATGCATATATAACATAGTTCTCTAGGTTTTTCAGGAATCCAATATTAATTTCCTAGCTTAAATATATTAGATAAACTAACAAATGATATTCACTGTAATTCTAACCGTATTAATTTAAAAGAGAAGAGTCCTATGAGGCAAGATATGTGCAGAAACTTGGAAGGCACATGGCAAAATGGCCATGTGTGTTCCTCTGCGGGGAGGTGACACGGGAGCCAGTAATTTCACTTAGACATACCTCATTAAGGAGCAGAGTTTGAGTATTTGGCTGCCTCTCTTTTTGTTATTTAGAATTTTTACTTATTTTGTGATAAAGTCGTCAGATAAAGAGTTTGTGTTAATACTTTCAGTTTTCAGTTGGTGCTTTTTTTTTTTTTTTTTTAACTATTCTCACCTAAAACCTTTGGCAAGACGTCAGAATGCTGCATAACCTGTTTCACTGACATAATACTTCTGGTTCTGAATAGTATATCTTTAAGATAAGAAGAGTAGAGTAGTAATTATAAATTAACATATTTTAAGTAAAATACTTTATAAAGCATATAAATAACTTAAAAATAACATAGACGAATTACTGAAGGTTTTCTTACCTCTGAACTGTAGTTACCAACTCCTTCTCTTTCTTTTTCTGGCATATTAACTGTGCATCTTTCTCTTGGCATTGTTTTTTCATCTCTTCAAGCTTTTTTTCCACATCTATCAAAGTCTCTTGCAAATTCTTATTTTTTTCTTCTAGAACCTGCAGCTAAGGAGAAATTTTTTAAAGTTCATAATGCATGGAATATTAAATGTGTTTCTACTAGAAATTGTTACTGTCTTCTCAAGGAGTAATAGACTTATGGTTAAAATCACAGTATCTTCATTTCATCCAGAGTACTTAACACTTTATCTCCTCCATTGTGTAAAGGAAACTGGGAGAATGGGATTATGGAGAAGAGGAGAACAGGGTCAGAAATTTCTAGAAGACAGAGAAAGAAAGGTGAATAATCTCAATTTGGAGGTGTTTTTTAAATTTTATTTTTTAATTGTAAAATACATGTAACATAAAATTTACCATCTTAATCATTTTTAAGTATAGAGTTTAGTAGTGTTAAGTACATTCACACTGTTGTACAACTAATCACCAGAACTCATTTCATCCTGCAAAACAAACCCTATACCCATTAGCAATTCCCATCCATCTCTCCCCTCAGCCCCTGGCAACCACTCTGACTTTCTGTCTCTATGAATTTGATTACTCTAGGTACCTCATACAGTATTTATACTTTTGTGAAAGGCTTATTTCACTTAACAAAATGAGCTTAGGTTCATCCATGTTGTAGCACATATCAGAATTTCCTTCCTTTTTAAAGCTAAATTGTATGTATATGCCACATTTTGTTTATCCATTCATCCATTGATGGACACTTGGGTTGCCTCCACCTTTGGCTATTGCAAATAATGCTGTTATGAACATGCGTCGTGTACAAACATCTGTTTGAGACCCTGCTTTCAATTCTTTTGGGTATACACCCAGAAGTGGAACTGAAAAATCATATGGTAATTCTTTTTTCTTTTTTTTTTTTTTGGTGAGGAAGATTGGCCATGAGCTAACAATCTTCCTCTTTTTGTTTGAGGAAGATTGTTGCTGAGCTAACATTTGTGCCAATCTTCTTTTTTTTTTTTTTAAAGATTTTATTTATTTATTTTTCCCCCCAAAGCCCCAGTAGATAGTTGTATGTCATAGCTACACATCCTTCTAGTTGCTGTATGTGGGACACGGCCTCAGCATGGCCAGAGAAGCGGCGCGTCAGTGCGCGCCTGGGATCCGAACCCAGGCCGCCAGCAGCGGAGTGCGCGCACTTAACTGCTAAGCCACGGGGCCAGCCCCTGTGCCAATCTTCTTTTTGTTTTTTTCTGTTTTTGTTTTTTTTTTTGTATGTGGGACACTGCTACAGCATGGCTTGATGAGTGGTATGTAGGTCCATGTCCAGGATCTGAACTCGCAAACCCTGGGCTGCTGAAGCAAAGCATGTGACCTTAACAACTACGCCACTAGGCCGGCCCCTCTATTTTTAATTTTTTGAGGAACCATCACACGGTTTTCCACAGTGGCTTCATCATTTTAGGTCCCCACCAATGGTGCACGAGGATTCTAATTTCTCCACATTGTCACCAATGCTTGTTACTTTCTGGTCTTTTTGACATTAGCCATCCTAATGGGGGTAAGGTGGTACGAAAGCATGTTTTTAATCTATACGCCTTTCTGTTCCTGCTCATGCAAACTTCTGTGTTCCTTCCTGACATTACCCTTTCTTCGTTTTTATGACGTATAAATTAATATAAACAGAGAACATGTTATATAGGTCTAGAGTCTAAGAATAATGACACTCCACAGATTAGACCGATGGTTCTCAACCAGGAGCAATTTCCTCCCACCCAGGGGACATTTGGAAATGTCTGTAGACATTTTTGATTTGGGAGGGAAGGGAGAAAGCAGTGTTATTGGCCTCTAGCAGGCAGAGGCCATAAATGCTGTTAAGCATCTTGTAATGCACAGGAAAGAATCCCACAACAAAAAATTATCCACCCCCAAATGTCAATAGTGCTGAGGCTGAAAAATCCCATGATTAGAAACACTATGAGAAAAGACTGAAGAGTAGGTTTAATAGATTTATAAGTAAGGTCTCAAGACGACAGGACTCACCAGAGTTGGTAGAAAGACTTTGGATGAGGTATTGTTAAGAAAGGAAAAGATCAGAAAAGAAGTCAGAAGAGTAAATGGGAGTCATAGATTAAAGTATAAGAAAGAATTTATGAAAAGATTAAGAATAAAGAAAACAAATCAAATATCTGGAAAGACAGTCAAAAACCGCCTTGCTGAGCCTTGGTGGATCCCAGAAAATACTGGGAAAGGCAGAACTGCGGTGCATGGATGTGTGTGGATGGGGTGGGGTGTCAGACTCACTTAGATACTGCCTTTTAGAGAACACTCAATGAGAGAGTCAACACACAAGTCCATCAGCAAGGCAACCACGCATTAGTTAACAAGAAGGATCTATTCATGCTCAGTTGAACAAAGCTTCTAATTAAAGTTAATGTTAAAAACAACAATTAAACACATAGATTTAACTTACAATTAGCCAAATATACAACTAAAATTTTAAATTACAAAATTTCTAAAATTTTATATTTTCTAAATTGATTCTAAGTTGATTCTAAAATCAACTTAAAAGTATGTTTTCATGTTATTTAAAGACAGGCATTATATTTCATGTTACCTGTAGACTCTGACTCTGTACATCATCTAGAGTTGGAAGATCAGCCAGATACTTTTCCAAGGTCTCAATTCTTCTCTGCTTTTCTTTGTTTTGTTCGGATTCCTTCTGGCATCTTTTTTTCAGGCTACTGATGTATCTATCTCTGGTTTTAAGCTAAAGAAAAAGATTATGACTCTTCAGTGGTTTTGTGTCATTAAAAAATAATAAAACCAACATTCTAATCTTGGGCAATTCACCAACGGTTCCAGGTTATAGTTAAGACTACCACCAACTCAGGTAAGATTTACCTGATTTCATCAATTCTAAGATTCATATTTTTTCAAATTTTCATATCACTGAAATCAAGAGTTTTTGAACTTTTTTTTGTTTTTTTTTTTTACAACTGATGGTATTCTATAAACTGCAGTCAGCCAGGAAGCAGTAACGATGTAGTTTTTATTGCCTCCACATGTGCAAATATCGTTAAGCCTATTCATATCTTTGGTATTTCAATAGTGTTATGGACATGTTGAAACTATGTGTTGAGTTTAAATGATGTTTAAAATACCTTTAAAAATGTTACATTATAATTTGGCATTGAAAAAAGTTATTGGGTACTCAGAAAGACACAGAAACAGAGCCACGGGGTATAATTCTGAAATCAGTGAAGCAAACATTCATCTCTGGAGGAATGACTCCAATTTCTTATTGCTTGCAAAGCTATATCCAAATATTTTATGTCAATAAAGAAAAGAAGATAACCTATAAGTAAGTAAAGCTGTTTTGTTACTAACAGACTTGCAAAGGAATTGCTTATCATGTACTAAAGCAGTGCAATCAAAGCCAGGGGAATTTACCAAAATTACCAAATATTTAGGAAGTGAAGGCGACTAGCAAGACCAATCCATATCTCAAGCAAGACTATTGTTAAGGTATTATGTCATAATTGGACTTGAAGCGTATTTTCTCTCTAAAAATTACATAAAATAAAGGTGTGCCTTACCACTGATGTCATCTTAGGATTGATGAAATATGTTAATTGAGCAGCTACTATGGAACACACACTGTACATGATCCTAGTAAATCCTAATTTGTGTAGGCTGAAGCTCAGATTTTTATGTACTAATTTTTTTCACCTTTCCACTTGAAATATACCATCTTTAAATTTCATATCTTACATTCAAAGCTCTTTCATACTTACGATGAATTAAAAACAATATCTGCATACAAATAGTTGCCTAAAAAGTAAACTCCAGACTCACATTTAGTTTAAATCACCAGTCTCCAAACATTTAACATTCTTTTAGAATTTCACAGGGTTCTAAAACATTTTTACAGCCTCATCCCATATTCACCAGGGAAATAAGTGCCAGTAATTAACAGTATAAGGGATTACTCTTTCAAATTTTATAAAAGCCAACACTTGCCCACAATCTAGTTTCTTTCATGCCTTACCTAATTTCTTTCAGGTCCAATGTATAACTTTTATTAAAACAACTTCAATTGGAAAAACAAATCACATCTCATTTCATCTATTCATTTCATCAATAACATTAGGATCCATTTATTACCTTGGGTAAGGAGCTACACAGGTAAAACAGACAAATCCTATTATTTATTGGGGCTTTCTCAGGATTAAAAGCAAGTGTGCTGGTGTGACAATTTAATGTGTGATCTATCAGAACTCATAGACTGTTGGCATTGGTGGTGGCCTGAAAGACCATATAATACAATTCCCTTTTTGAATACGGGGCCCAGAGATCTTTAGTGACTTAACTACAAGTCACAGAGACAGAGTTGGGATTTAAACATACACTGTCTGACTGAAAGCCAATGTTCTTTCAATTCTTCCACAATACTCATAATCAGATTCCCATCAATTTTCTAGCAAACAGATTCCCCATCAACCAAGTCTGCTCATGCCTTAGCAAACGACCCTTAAGTTACAGAAGTAAACATAACTAGCCTATTTTTACTAAACATTCCCTAATTTATACTTAATTGTTTAAGTGTCTTAAATGTGACTCAATGGTGTTCTCAAAAAGTAGTTACTGGAATAGGTCAGTCATGCTGTCTTCTACTATGCAAAGATGCCCTAGTTTTCTTCTTTTTCTTTGGTTGGTCAACTGTCTTCTTTGCTATCATTTCAAGCTTGCTGCCCTTATCACAAATCTCCGCCAGCACTCTCCTATTGGATACCATCTCTGTTATTCATTGACCACAAGTTGACCACACATAATCACTGGGTCTCAGGTTTTTTTTAGCCCTGCTCACTGATGAGAAGGGCTGAAAATGGGTCTCAGGTTTTTTCAGCCCTGCTCACTGATGAGAAGCTCTTGTGTTTTGTTTTGCTTTGTCTTTAACTTCCAAGTTCTGTGTTGTCTCAGATAACAGAGCTTACTGAGGTCTGAACGCCAGTCATTACCCCCAGGTAAATGAGGCATCACCAATAAATCTTCCCTATTCTATTTATAAAGGGTTAAGTTCTTCCTTTCAAGGAGATATTATGCAATACTGAGATCATTCCTAGAAGGCAATAGGAAGGCCCTGTTTTAGAAGAGGTTTACAAACAAATTTATTTTTCTTTATTTTAAATATAATTGGTTGAACAAAATAGATTAGTGAGGAAATTTTTTCCTCCAAATTTTTTACAAATCATTATTATTAGACCAAAGCATTAGGTATAGAGTTAAATTGTCTGGCATTCTACTCCTAGCTTTCCAACAATTCCTATCTACATGCAACTGGACAAATTACTCAACTTTTCTCAAAGCTTCAGTTACCTCATTTTTTAAAATGGGGGTATAGTATATACCTCATAAAGTTTTTGTGAAAATTAGGATTAAATGAGAAAATGCATTTAATGTACATTAACATGCTGCCTGGTGCAGACAAGAAAGAGCTCATCAAAGAGTAACTTTTATTGTTATTATTATCACATTAAATGTTTTTTTGTCATGGAATTAGTCTTGATCAGCAGAAGGAAACAACACAATCCAATCTCATGTGGACCCAGAGAGCAGTTCGGTTGAGGCTTTATCAATGAGTCTATTTTCTAGCTTCTACACTCCCTTCAAGAGTGTAGTCGAGTCACGTGACACAAACTCTACCCTCTACATTCAGTCCCCTGCTCAAGTTCCCCTGATAGAGACACTTCCATTCTTAACTACCTCACTCCAGAGAGAGGCTATTCCTCTTCTTCTCCAAGAGTAACTCTTCCATTTTGGTGTCTGTTATCAACCTTCCCCTATTTCTCTTAGGAATTTGCTCCATCATGCACCCACTCTGACATCTTTGATATCTCTCTCTAATTATTCTTTCCCTAGTCCTTTGGTGGGGTTATCTCACTCCCTTTTCTTCCTTCTTGGCAAAAATCACTTGAAAGCATTCAATCATTCATTCATTCATTATGCGAGGCACCATGGCTTGTGCTACATATGCTACAGTGACACATTAAGATACATCCCTGCCTTCAAGGAGCTTACAGAGAAATATTAAAAAAAGAATGATTATTCAAAATTATGTTAAGCATTGGGAAAAACAAAAAAGAACAAAATGCTCTAAGCATAAAAGGAGAGGTTGGAGGGGAAAGATATTCAAGCTGAGACTTGACAAAATATATAGGTGATTAGGGAGTGGGAAAAGAGAGCCAAGTATTTACCAGGCAAAGAGGACACTTTGTGTAAGACCCTGACATTGGAAACAAAGCCTGACCTATCTGAGCAGCTGTAAGACACTGTACCCAGACACAGTACCCCAGAGGGAGACTGGTAGAGCCTGAGCTGTATCATAAGGCAGGGTCTTTCAGGTCAAGGGAAGAATTTGATTCTTATTTTAAAGACAATGAGATAGCATTAATGGGTTTTAACCAAGTAAGTGAAACAAGTGGATCTTCATTTTAAAAAATTCAGTCCTCCACACTATCAGGAATGGATGTGAGAGGCTGTGGAGCGACTGGAACTCTCATACATTGGTAGGGGAAGTGTCAAATGGTACGAACACTTGGGAGAACTCAAGCAGTTTCTTGTAAGTTAAACATCTACCCTATGAACTGCATGACCCAGAAATTCCACTCTTAGAAATTTAGCCAAGAGAAATAAAAACATAGGTATACAAAAAGTCTGGTACAATAATGTTCACAGTAGCTTTATTCATTATTCCCCCAAACTGCCACCAATCCAAACGTCCATGAACAGGAGAGTAGATACACTGTGGTACATCTATATAACGGAATGCAGCCCAGCAACAGACAAGAACAAACTACCAATACATGAAACAATATGAATAAACCTCAAAGACAGTGAGTGCAAGAAAACAGACACAAAAGTATATATACTGCATGACTCCACTTATATGAATTGCAAGAAGACTCAAAACTATAGTGATAAAACAGTGCCTCAGGGAGGCGCAAGAGACTGACTAGAAAGAAGCACAAAGGAACTTCTCGGGTGACTGAAATGTTTTGTGTCTCATTCAGATAATGCTTATACGTGTATATACTATTAGCCATACTCATCAAACTGAATACTCAAGATCTGTACATCTGACTGTATATAAATTATGCTTCAATTTTAAAAAATATAAATGAAATACATAGAATTACAACAATAACAAAGAAGTAGAGAACAAGGGAGAGCAGATAAGCAGAGCAAGAGTGGATTCAGAGACACCAATGAAGAGGCTATTAAAAACCTTTGCCAAGAGATGATAACTTGGACCAGGCTGGTAGTGTTGGACAGATTCTATATATATTTAGGAGACGAGCTTGATTTGACTTAGTAAAGTTTCTAGCATGAGTAACTGAATAGACAGTAATGAACATTGAAAAAAATTTATTTTATTTCATTTCAGAAGAATAGGACAGTCAAGGCAAATTAAGAATTGTGTTTTGGACATGAAAAGTTTGAAATTTTTTTGTGTGTGTGTAAGGAAGATTAGCCCTGAGCTAATTAACAGATGTTAATCTGTTGCTAATCCTCCTCCTTTTGCCGAGGAAGATTGGCCCTGGGCTAACATCTGTGCCTATTTTCCTCTACTTTATATGTGGGACGCCTGCCACAGCATGGCTTGATGAGCAGCGCATAGGTCCACGCCCAGGATCCAAACCTGCGAACCACGGGCCGCTGAAGTGGAGCACGTGAACTTAACCCCTATGCCACCAGGCCAGCCTCAAGTTTGAAATATTTTTAAGACATCCAAGTAGGAGCCATCAAATAGGTAGTTAGTGTATAATTTGATTTTACTAAGCACTGGACACCAAAAGTAATAAAAGATGAGAAAATTTTAGATAAAATATAAAATATATTTTAAAAACTGTATCCATTGAATCATCATAATTTTCACACAATCTTTTAATTAACAAGTCTCAGATGAAAAAATATTTGAATCCCTCCCACATCTGTATGACCAATGAATATTTCCTTAGCTCTCTCCTGATTGTGGTATTGTATGAAGCTCAAAAAATATAGAAAAGAAACAAGAAACAGGTATTTAAGGTACTTTCAAGTTAGCCAAGACAAAATACATCATACAAAGACAAACCATGTGCAATTTCTGTCACTTTTTGGAAGATAAAAATTTTAACTCACATGTATATATATACACATACACACACACACACACACACACACACACACACAAATGTCAATTGAGTTCTCTATTAATAGCTCCAAACCTCCCTGAAGAAACCATGGTGACCTGCTTCAAGCTCACTTGAAAGGAAGGTTCAGTTAATAGAACAATAAGTTGAATATATCCAGAGAGAAATCTAAAATCAGTTCTGCCACTAAGTAGCAGCTTAAGGATCTGTGTCTCTTCAGTAAATTAGGGCTCGCATGTATCCTACTTGATCTTTAATGATACTATAAAGAAATGAGGTGAAGATACTTTAATAAAGGCAGAAAGGTCAAATAAATGTACAGATTTTTGTGTACATGTAAGCATCTGGCTTTTAGCTACCTATTCTAAATCAGCTTCAATAACCTGAAGTCATGTGCTTATGAAAGACAAACCACCCCTGTTTCATTTACCAATCTTTCATGCTCAACATGACAAAGAAAAAGGGCCCAAGAAGGAACAGGAGAACAGTTAGTGGTGTCACATCTCAGGGTAGGCATCTAACTTAAAAAAGGTTTCACTATTAGTTGGAAAGATATAATATACAGTGGTATTTTTATCCTTCAAGAAAATCCCTGGATTTTTGTAGACAGCACAGGGTTTCTCAAAAGTTACTACAAAACTAATCCCTTCAATATACAAGTATAACCTGTATGACACCTGGCACAGGGTCGATGACAAATAATTATATGTTGAAAGAATGTTGTTGACCTGATTCAATCTTATTAAAAATACCTACCTTTTCCTCCAGTTTCTTCTTCTCTTCATTAAATTGGCTTATCCTTTGTTTGAGAAACTGGTTGAGCTGTAAAACCTCTTTCTCAGTAGACGCAAGCTTTTGCTCAAGTTCTTCTTGCTGGGAAGGGGACACTGACTGATCTGAAAATGAAGTCTGTAGTGAAGTGTTCTCATATTGTGGCTATTGGGAAAGAAAAAAAAAACAAGACTTTAAAAGTTTACTTGTCTTGAACAAATGGAAAGAAACTGGAAATGAGGTACAGTACAGAGAGTACACACAGGCGTTAGTAACAGACAGACCTTGGCATAAATCCCAGCTCTCCTGCTTCCCAGTTATGCACCATGATTAATCAAATTACTTACCATCGCCAAGTCTGTCTTCTCATCTATAAAACAGAAATAATAAAGTCTACCCTACAGTGTTTTTTTTTGAAGAATAGAGATAAAGTGTGTAAAGTTCCTAGCACATAGCAGAAGCATAATAAAAGGAAGTTATGGTTTGGTTAAAAAGTATAATTAGAGATATAAATAGCACCTTATATAGAAGTGAAAGTTCTAGGGAAATAAGTAAAAACCAGAGAAATATCTCCTCACAGGTGATCATTTCCAGCTAATATTAAATTCAATAAATATTAACAGATTGTTTCCACAACTGGAAAGTCAGGTCCATGAAATCAGGGATTTTTGTCTGTCTTTGTTGCTCCTATATCCCAATTTCCTAGAACAGTGACTAGCACAAAACAAATGCTTTTCAAAAAATAATTGCTGAATGAATAAATGTATTCTTGTTTCCATGAGCAAGGCTTTTGGAGGAAATTTAGACAAGATCTTCCCCCTCCCCTTCCCCTTACAGCATTACAACCTGGAAGGAGAGGACAGGAAATACAAATATTTCCTCAAACAAATTAGAATGTGATAAGTGCTAGAGTGTGATAAGTGCTACAAGAGATACCAACAAAGTAACGTGAAAGCAAAAAACCAGATTATTTTTCCATTTATTTCACAAATATTTACTAAGCACAGATGTTAGGCACCGTGTACTGGGGACTCAACAATTAATGAGACAAAGCCCCATCAGTTTAACGAAGCATCACACAAAAAAAGACAAAAAAACTGCCTAAGTGCAAAGCTGGCTGATGTATAGTAGGGGAAGGGGATGTGTAGTATGGGAAGGCTTTTATAAAAGTGAACTTGAACTGGGCCTTGAAGAACTCACACTTTCCCAAAAGGTGGAGATGCAATTCAAAAATTATATAAATAGCACTTATCAAGTGCAGGGTATTTCGAAGGTCACAGACTCAGGCACTGCTCTTGACAAACTCAAATTCTAACGAGAGGCATAAGAGAAACCCTTTGATAATTATCTATAGGACACAATATAATATGGTAGCCAAAGAAAAGCCATCTTAAGTACAAAGTGTTGGGAGGTGGGAGGATAAACGAAGACGGCATCAGGAGAAGGAGGAAAAAAGCTTTACAGGGGAGGTGGCTTTTGAGATAGATTTTGAAAATAAGAAGAATTCTGGCAGGAACAGAGAAAGGAAGAAAAAGCATTCCAGAAAGAACATGTTAAAAAGGTAAAAGATGGAATATATGTAGAGAATATCTATGTCTGTTTAATGTATAGGTTTCAAGAGGGGGGAATATAAGGGAAACCTTAAAAACCTAAGAGGGACCATACTGTAAAATCACAAGGTTCAGAATACAACCTTAATTCATAGGAAATGGGGAGCCAGTGACAGTTTTACAACAAGAAAGTAACATGACTTAAGACCACTGTGAACTCTGTTTTGTAAATCTCTATACTCCCTGGCATTTAGCCCAGTGTGTAGACTCTCAATAACTTTTGATTAAAGGGAAAAGAAACGAGTAAAGAGGAAAAAGGACAAAAGAGTCTATAACACCTGGAGCGGTAGACGAGGGGAATTAAAGGATATTGAGAATGGACAGGAATATACCACTTCAACAAATTGTTCTAACCTATGTAGAGCACTGAGAACAGACTGAAGAAATCTGGAAACAGAATTGAGAGGATTCAGAGAAAAGAATTTTTTAAGATGTGAATGGACAAGAAATGTTAAAGATAATTTTGTGTCTAAGTAACAGGGAAGGGTATGTTGTAAGCAGAGGTAAGGAGGTCCTATAGAAGAACAGGTCTAAGCAGATGTAATTAATTACAATTAGAGCCTATTGATATCAAGATGCCAGTTGAACATACAAGTAGAGAGGAACATCAGGCAGTTAGAAAGGTGGGTCTAGAACTCAGGAAAACAGCTAGGCTAGACTAGCAAACTGTAAAAAGTTATTAGACTTATGGTTTCCAGTCTGGCATGTAATGAGCTCAGAAACTGCCACTCTGTCCACTTTACTAACAAGTAAAAAGCTGAACAAACAGAAAAATCAACAACTCTCCTAAGATCTGTCAGAAAAGTGGGGTCACAGGGCAAACTGCTGTCCCCAAAATTAGAGAAACAAGCAAATAGAGAGAATCACTCTGGAACAGAATCCTCCATGGAAACCAGTGCTGGAGCAAGAAAACTAGAACTGTAATTGATGAATTGCTGGGGACTCAGAGCAGATAAGTCTGAGAGTCAAAAACTCCAGGGGGACCCAGTCATAGGGGACCCCCAACTTTTCTGAGTTTTACCTCCAGGAGCTCTACCAGGTTCTCACAGTGAATATCAGAGAAAAAAATCCCCTCTTGCCTCCAGCAGGGGGAGGAGAAAAGAAACCATTTTGAAATATGCCAGAACATTCCGTTCTTCTTAATAAGACCAGCCCTCAGGAGAAACTATTTTACCAGACACTAACCTACCTAGAAGGGAACTAACCCACCTAGAAAGGAAATACCCAACTCTAGCTACCTCTAGCCTTCCACATGGGGAAGGGAAATACCCAATTCCAGTTGCCTTAGCCATCGTGTCCCACTAAAGGTTGGGAAAGAAAATACTGAGAAGCACTAGTGAAGTTCATAGTCCAGGAGCACAGGCTCACTAAAAGACTAAGACCTAATCAAAGGAGTACAGAATGTTTCTCCTCCTCCCACACCTTGCCACTACATTACTAAAGGCCTATTTACCACATTTCCAGTACATCAGGTCCACCTTTCAAACAAAATTTACAAGGCATACTAAAAGGCAAAAACACAGTCTAGAGAGACTGAATAAGCATCAGAACCAGAGTCAGATATGTCAGGAATGCTGGAACTATCAGATCAGAAATTTTTAAAACCTAGGATTAACACCCTAAGGGCTTAATGGTAAAGTAGACAACATGTAAGAACAGATAAAAAATGTAAGCAGACAGATGGAAATTCTAAGAAAGAAGCGAAAAGAAACTCTAGAGATCAAAAACACTGTAACAGAAATGAAGAATGTCTGGGGGTGCTCATCACTAGACTGGACATAGCTCAGAAAACAATCTCTGAGCTTGAGGATAGGACAATAGAAACCTCCAAAACTGAAGAGCAAAGAGAAAAAAGAAAATAGAACGAAATATCCAAGAAATGTGAGATAATTACAAAAAGCGTAACATACATGTAATGGGAACACCATAAGAAGAGAGAGAGAAAGGAACAGAAGCAATATTTGAAACAATAATGATTGAGAATTTCCCCAAATTGTCAGACACCACATGGATTCAGGAAGCTCAGAGAACACCAAGAAGAATAAATGCCAAAAAATTATACATAGTTATATCATATTTAAATTTTTGAAGATCAAAGGTGAAAAAAAAATCTTGAAAGAAATCAGAGGAAAAAAACACCTTACCTATAGACAGGCAAAGATAAAGGTGATATATGACTTCTCAGAAACCAGGCAAGCAAGAATAAAGTAGAGTGAAGTATTTAAAGAGTTAGGAGAAAAAAATCCACCAACCTAGAATTCTGTACCCTGTGAAATTATCCTTCAAAAGTGAAAAAGAAACAAAGACTTTCTCAGACAAATAAAAATTGAGTGAATTGGTTGGCAATAGACTTGCCTTGCAAGAAATGTTAAAAGAAGTTCTTCAGAGAGAAGGAAAATGATATAGGTCAGAAACTTGGACCTACGTATGGAAAGGAAGAGCATCAGAGAAGGTACAAGCAAAGGTAAAATAAAAGCTTTCATTTTTCATAATTGATGTAACAGATACTAGTTTGTTTAAAAAATAACGGCAACAATGTATTTAATCATGTTTTTGTGTTATGCTTATGCATAAGTGAAATGAATGACAGTGATGATACAAGGCAGAGGATGGAAGATTTAGGACTACTTAGTTATTATAAGGTATTTGCACTATTCATGAAAAGTATAGTGCTATCTGCAAGCAGACTTGGATTGGTTGTAAATGTATATTGTAAGCTTAGGGCAATCACCAAAAACAAGCAAAGAAAAGAAGTGTAATCTATATGCTAAGAAAGGAGAGAAAACAGAATCATTAAATACTCAGTTAAAACTGCAAAAGGCAGAGAAAGTGTGGAAGACAAACAGAAATAAAGAACAAGGGCAACAAAACAGTAGCAAATATGGTAGATATTAATCCAACTATATCAATAATCACTTTAAATGTGAATGGTCTAAATACACAAAATGAAAGACACAGATTGTCAGAATGAATCTAAAAACAAGACCCAAATATATGTGGTCTACAAGACACTCACTTTAAATATAAAGACACATATACATTAAAAGTAAAGGGATGGAAAAAGATACATCATGTTAACACTAATCAAAAGAAAGCTAAAGCAGCTGTATTAATTTCAGACAAAGCAGACTTTAGAGCAAGGAAAATTATTGGAGCATTACATAAGGATAAAAGGGTCAATACTTCAAGAAGCCATAACAATCCTTAATGTGTATGTGCCTAAAACAGAGCATCAAAATACGTGAGGCAAAAACGGATGGAACTGCAGGGAGAAACAGATGAATCCACTATAATAGGTGGAGACTTTAACAACCCTCTATCAGAAATGGACAGAACCATCAAGCAGAAAATCAGTCAAGACATAGTTGAACTCAAAAGCACCATCAATTAACTGGATATAATTGATATCTGTAAGATTATTTCATCCCACAACAGCAGATTACACATTCTTCTCAAGCTCACATGGAACATTCACCAAGACAGACCACATCTAGGCCATAAAACACACCTTAACAAATTTAAAAGAAGAGATAGCATACAATGTATGCTCTCAGA